TTCCATCTTAAATCAATCTTGAAAGCTTTTAGCCTTTCACTACCATTCTAAATGGCAGCCTCATCACCAATTGCCCCTTTTCTTTTCAACTACTCTCAAAACTTAGTCCTCATTTTTTACGGCGAAAACTATGACTTCTGGAGCCTCCAAATGAAGACACTCTTCATCTCTCAAGAACTTTGGGAGCTTGTCGAAGAAGGCTATGAGGGTCCAGATGACTCGGTAGTGTTAGCATCATAGACACTGGCAAAGCAAAAGGAGTACAAGGAGAACAAGAAAAAGGATGGGAAGACACTTCTCTTTACCCAACAAGGGGTAAGCAAAGCAATCTTTCCCCAAATAATGTCCGCGTCAAATCAAAGGATGCATGTGACATACTCAAACAAGAATTTAAGGACTCCGATAAGGTAATCTCTATCAAGCTACAATCTTTATGGAGAGACTTTGATAACATAAAGATGAAAGATAATGAATCTGTGAAAGAATTTTCTGATAGTTACCTCAATTATTAATCAAATTAGAAGCTATGGGGATAAAATAGATGATAAGAAGATTGTTGAGAAGATATTAAGAAGCCTTCCCCCTACATGGGATCATACTGTTGCTGCCATACAAAAATCTAAAGATTTATCAAAACTAAGTTTTTATGAACTAATGGTTTCTTTGGAGTCACATGAGCTTAGAAGAAGCAGATCTTCAAGCCAAGAGGTGGAGCAAGCATTCTAGTCAAACTAACATTTTCAAGAAAAGAAGAGTATGAAACTAAAGAAAAAAAAAAGATTTTCTCAGATAACACAAGATGAAAGAGGCAACTACCATGAAAGAAAGTTCGGGAGACAAGAAAGAATGAATGAGAGAGACAAAGATTTCTCAAAAGGTAAGTTTACCTCCTATTGTATAATCTGTAGTAAGTCTGGACATAACACGTATAACTGTAAATTTAAATGCACAAACTGCAGAAATGCTAATCACTCCCAAAAAGATTGATGGTATCAAAAAAATAATGAAGTCCACTATACAGAAGTAGAAACCGATCACCAATTTTATTCATGTTTTAATGCATAATTAGAAGAAAAAGATACTTGGTTTTTGGATAGTAGATGCAACAATCATATGACAAGAAATAAGAGCAGCTTCGTAGAGTTGAAGGATGGAAGCAAGCTCCCAAATAAAGCTTGGAGACGGAAAATTAAAAAACATTGAAGGAAAGAGGGTGATAGAAGTCTAGACGAAGGAAGGTAAGACTAAATACATCTCAGATGTTCTTTATGTTCTGAGACTAACTCAAAATTTACTTAGTGTGGAACAATTAATTCAAAAAGGATATACAATCAATTTCTTTAAGAATGAATGTGTGATAATAGATGATAACAATAAGCTAATAGTGGCCAGAATAAAAAATGACTACTAACAAAGTTTTTCCCCTAAAAATGTCTGTAGAGAATCTTGCACTCAAATTAGAAGAAAATAACGATTCTTTATTATGGCATTGAAGATAAGACCACTTAAGCTTCAAGAGTCTAAATTTGCTAAAAATGAAGAATATGGTGATAGGACTCCCACAAATAAATAAGGAAGAAAAAGTTTGTGAAGGATGCATTTATGGAAAAATGCATCGCTTAATCATTTACTAAAACTTCTTGGAGAGCAAAATCCCCATTAGAATTGGTGCATTCTGATGTTTGTGGCCCAACACAAACCCCATCATTAAATGGAAGAATATATTTATTGTTATTTGTTGATGATTATAACAGAATGACGTGGATATATTTCTTAAAAGCAAAATCAGAAGTATTCTCAAAGTTTTTTGAGTTTAAGGCTCTTGTAGAAAAGCAAGTGGCTACAAATTAAAAGTTTTAAGAACTGATTATGGAGGAGAGTTCACCTCCAATGTATTTAAAAATTTCTGTAAAAATCATGGACTTAAAAAGGAGCTAACAACAAGGTACACTCCACAATAAAATAAATAGCGGAAAGAAGAAATAGATTAATTGTGGAGATGGCGAGGAGCATGTTAAAAGGTAAAAATCTCCTAATCAAACTATGAACTGAGGCGATATATACAAAGAAGAAATAGATCAATTGTGGAGATGGCGAGGAGCATGTTAAAAGGTAAAAATCTCCTAAACAAACTATGAACTGAGGCGGTATATACAATAGTCTACATCTTGAATAGATCACCAACAAAAGTTGTGCCAAACAAGATGCCATATGAAGCTTGGAGGTGATAAGCGAAAGTGAATTTCTTTAAGGTATTTGGGTGTATCGCCTATGCACATAAACTAACACAGCCAAGAAAGGAAAAGTTTGATGAAAAAGGAGAAAACTTATTTTTATTGGCTACAGAAGAATCCAAAGCCTATGGATTATACAATCCTGATACTAACAAATTGGTGGTCTCCATAGATGTTATCTTCGATGACTCAGGAACATGGGACGGTGATCCAAATCAAACCTCAACACCAAACATCATTGAAGAAGAAACGAGGGGAGCCACGTCATATCAAGATTCTCCTAGTTCAAGATCCCCATATGCATCAACTTCAGACGCAGATTTACTATCGAGAAAGGTGCGTTCACTTCAAGATATTTATGACTCCTGTGATGTAGCATTCTTCTCCTGTGAACCACAGAAATTTGAAGAGGCTGTTCAAGATGAAGGTTGGAGAAAAGAAATGGATGAAGAAATATACATGATTGAGAAGAACAAGACATAGGAGCTGGTGAATCTTCCAGAAGGAAAGGAGGTTATTGGGCTTAAGTGGATATACAAAACCAAGTACAATGAAGATGGTTCCGTTTAGAAACTCAAGGCTTGATTAGTCGCGAAGGGTTACTCTCAGCAACCAGGAGTCGACTTCAATGAGATATTTGCCCTAGTTGCTCGTATGGAGACCATAAGGACAATATTGGCCATAGCAGCTCAGCTCAAGTTTAAAGTGTTTCAGCTAGATGTCAAGTCAACATTCCTAAATGAAGAACTTGAAGAGAAACTCTATGTTGAGCAACCACATGGCTACATAGTCAAGAGAGAAGAAAACAAAGTTTATCGGCTGCACAAAGCACTATACGGGTTGAAGCAAGCACTGCGGGCTTGAAATAGCAAAATTGATAACTATTACCAAGAGCATGGATTTCAAAGGAGCCCAAGTGAACCGTCTTTATATGTGAAGAAAAAAGGTGAAAAAAGGTGCGGACTTCCTTATCGTTTGCCTATATGTTGATGATTTAATTTATTGTGACACTAACACCATGATGCGTGAAGAATTTAAAAGGAAGATGAAAGAAGATTTTGAGATGACACATTTAGGATTGATGAGATAATTGCTGAGAATACAAGTAAAACAATTGAATGAGAAATATTCATCAATCAAGAGAAGTACTGTGAAGATCTTCTGAAGAGGTTCAACATGAAGAATTGCAATCCAGTAGCTACACCAGCATTGCTAAATGAAGAGCTATCAATGAACGATGGAGCACCAAAGGTGGATGCCTCAAGTTACAGAAGCCTAGTCGGATCGCTAATCTACCTCACAAATACAAGACTGTACATATTGTACGCTGTAAGCATTGTGTCCAGATTCATGAGCAATCCAAGTAAGCTACACTATGGAGCAACGAAGCAGATTCTTCGATATCTTTAAGGTACAAAGAGCATGGGAATAAAATACACAATAGAAGAAGACAATGCATTATTTGGCTGCACTGACAGCGACTGGGCTGGATGTATTGATGATCGCAAAAGCACTTCAAGATATGTCTTCACTCTGAGATCTAAGGTAATATCCTAGACCCTCAAAGAAACAACAGATCATAGCTCTCTCATCTGCAGAAGCAGAGTATATCTCAGCTACAAATGCCGCATGCGAAGCAGTATGGCTTCGAATGATTTTATCTGATTTACAACAAGACCAAGAGTCACCGACTAATCTCTACTATGACAGCAAGTCTGCAATAGCCATGACAAAGTATCCAGTCTTCCATGCCAAAACCAAACATATTGAAATTCGTCATCGTTTCATTAGAAAGCTCGTTGAAGATAAGGAGATCAAGCTAGAGTTTATCTCAACAAATAAGCAGCTAGTAGACATCTTCACAAAAGCAGTGCCCTCCAAAAAGTTTATACTATTCAGAAATGAGTTGGGAATTACAAATTAAGGAGGGGTGTAGAAGATAATTTGTAATTCTAGAACACTCTACAATAACTTTGTAATATGGATAGCTTCTGGAGATAACTAGAGCTAGAAATATAACAAAAATAAGATATATCTAGAATATAGGAATATTATAATATACTCTAAAATGTTTCATGTAAATATCTATGCTCTAGATAGTTCTATATGTACTTATAAATAGGCAATGGATGTAAGCATTGGGAACAAGCTTTGAAGCAATTAAAACAAAGTTTCTTCAAGCTAGCTTCTTCCCTTCCAACTTTTTATTTCCCTTCTACTTCCTCCATTCTCTCAATCATCTAAAATTAAAATCAATTACCATCTAGCTTCCGCAACTCCAACACTTTTTACGTGCAAGAGTTAACCTTTACAAATCAGTCACTATCTTTATTATGAAAACACAAACAGAACAGAGACTTTTGAGACCTCATGCTTAGTACGTGGTAAAGCAAGTCGCCAATGCCCTGAGCATTGTAGCGGGAGTCAATTTGTGTCCTTTCCATGGTTCTTGTGACCACAACAGAGATTTTTTTTCAACCATCACATATTGACAAACTTGACAAAGTCACATGATAGCTAAAGAAAATGATTTTTGGCTCCTTGTGTTACCAAATCAAAGACCAACGCTGTGTGTGAGTGTTAAGTTCCATTATTGTGATGACACGGAGACATTTACAACGGACCGCTGTCACTAAGAAGTGGACTTTCTACCGTCTCACCTGCAATCAGGAATTCCCAACAATTTTGAGTTTCTTTAGGAATTCGTCCAAAAATGGAAACAACACACCTAACAACAGAAGAAAAATACAAATAAAATATGTGACGTGTTTGGCACGACGCACTTCTATGACAGAAGTAACCATGCTACATAACAGGAAACGCGCTTATTTGTTAGCAGCGCGCCACAGGCTTGAGAACAAAGTAGAAGAAAATCTGAGACTTCTGATGTAACTGACAAGTACTGACTTCAAGTAAATTTTACCTACATTTTTTATCTCCCTGTTCGCAAACCTTCAGGATATTACAAACAAACACTCTTTTCTCCATGCATTCATCTCGCAAAATGTTCTCAAAATCCCCCTATTTCTTCCCAGTTCACCATTTTCTTCTTCTCCTCTCACTTAATACAGTTCTCACTTTGGCAACTGATACGATCTCCCAAGGCCAATCCATATCTGGAAACCAAACCATAGTCTCCAAAGGAGGCATCTTTGAACTTGGCTTCTTCACCCCAGGCAAATCCAACAACTACTACATTGGCATCTGGTACAAAAAGATCCCTACACAAACAGTTGTATGGGTAGCAAACAGAGAAAAACCAGTATCCAATCCTGCAACTTCTGAACTGAAGCTGGCCAAAGATGGCAATCTAGTCATCTCTCATTCCAAGCTCCCAGTTTGGTCATCAAACACAACATCACCATCATCTTCTTCCTCCATTTCTATCATCGCGACGCTTCTTGATACAGGTAATCTGGTTCTCAGAGACCAATCGAATTCGTCTATTATACTGTGGCAGAGTTTTGATCATCCAACCGATACATGCCTGCCCAATGGATGGGTCGGTGTGAATAAAATCACTGGGGAATATCAAAGCCTTACTTCATGGAGGAACACCGAGGATCCATCTCCTGGGCTTTTCACCAAAACTATAGACCCGAGTGGCATCCATCAGCTTATTTTGCAATGGAACAAATCGAGAAGCTATTGGCGAAGTGGAGTATGGAATGGAAAGTCCTTTACCTTGATGCCTGAAATGGATGGGTACAATATCCTCAGGTCCGAATTTGTCGATAACAACAAGAGTAGGTATTACAGCTACAACTTCTCTGATGGGATATTGGGTCGGACTTTAATGCACTCGTCTGGGCAAGCGCAACAGTGGATGTGGTTTAATGATGAACAAGGATGGGTGCTGGTCTGGGCTGAGCCACTCTCCCTTTGTGATATTTACTCAGTCTGTGGCACTTTCGGTATGTGTGACAATAAAGACACACCAGTATGCAGCTGTCCGAGTGGCTTCAGTCCAACTTCCATGAGAGACTGGGAGTTAGAAGATTGGAGTTCAGGGTGTTCAAGGAAAACTCACTTGCAGTGCAATGATAGGAACTCGACCACCGGGGAAAAGGATGGATTTTTGGCCATACCCAATCTGCTCTTGCCGGCAGATTCACAGCCTGTAGCAACAACAAGCGCTGAAGAATGTGAAGTAGCTTGTTTGAATAATTGCTCGTGCACTGCTTATTCTCATGGCAATGGGTGTTCAATTTGGTATGGAGACATCAAAAATCTTAAAATTCTATCCGAAGGCGAAAATAGATCCGGTACTCTTTACCTAAGGCTGGCAGCTTCTGACCTGCCACGGACAGGGAAAAGGAAATTAATCATAAAAATTGCTCTAAGTGCAACAGTAGCAATAGTTTTGTTAACCCTTATGGCATTGATATGGATCTGTCGAAGAAAAGGTCAGGGGACATCAAAATTCCCTGAAGGTCCTTTGGTATCATTTACTTATAATGAATTGCGGCGCATGACAAAGAACTTTTCAGAAAAGCTCGGTGGAGGAGGATTCGGTTTGGTATTCAAAGGAATTCTATCTAATTCAGATTTTGTAGCTGTGAAAAGACTAGAAGGGGTTCGTCAAGGAGAGAAGGAGTTCCGAAATGAATTAGGAACTTTGGGCAGAATTCAGCATGTTAATCTAGTCCGTCTACGCGGGTTCTGCTGTGAGGGAACTGAGAAGATTCTGGTTTATGATTACATGCCAATGGGATCTTTGGATCACCACCTCTTTCAAAAACAATCCAAGAATTTAGACTGGAAGACTAGATATCAGATCATACTAGGCACTGCCAGGGGATTGGCATATCTCCATGAAGAATGTAGAGAATGCATCATCCACTGTGATATAAAGCCAGAAAACGTTCTATTAGATACTGAATTCTGCCCAAAATTATCAGACTTTGGAATGGCAAAGCTCATTGGCCATGACTTCAGCCGAGTTCTAACAACGATGAGGGGAACTATAGGCTATCTAGCACCAGAATGGATCGAAGGGCTACCAATAACACCCAAAGCAGATGTCTATAGCTATGGTATGATGCTATTTGAAATAGTATCTGGTAGAAGAAACTCAAAATTGGCTGAAGATGTCTATAGCTATGGTATGATGCTATTTGAAATAGTATCTGGTAGAAGAAACTCAAAATTGGCTGAAGATGGGAGCATTAGGTATTTTCCTGTTCAGGCTGCGAGCAAACTCATTACAGGAGAGGTTCTTAGCTTGCTAGATGAGGATTTAAATGGTTCTGCGGATGCTTTGGAGCTGAACAGAGTCTGCAGAGTTGCTTGCTGGTGCATTCAAGATTTTGAGGCAGATAGGCCATCGATAGCTGAACAGAGTCTGCAGAGTTGCTTGCTGGTGCATTCAAGATTTTGAGGCAGATAGGCCATCGATGGTGGAAGTTATTAACGTCCTGGAAGGGGTTTTAGAGCTGAAGATGCCTCCATTCCCAAGAACTCTTCAACGACTTGCAGAGGAGGTTTCTATAGTTAGTTACTATGAGTAATCAGATGTGCTCTCATGTACCAGAATTCCATGTCTTACTAGTGCTAATATACATATCATCATGTTAGTAGTTGGAAATAAGAAATATATATTGAGTACTAGGGATCAAGGTGGCTTATTTATGAGCAGTTGGTAAACAAACTTTTCTACGATAGATTTGTCTCAAGGATCACAATTTTTAAACAAAATTTGGCGTTATGCAAAAAATAACAACATTCAATATTAACCATGATAAGAGATATAATAAACATTATTTGTAACAAAACTTAAAGATATGATCTGTTATAAACAAAAACATGTACACACATGTTCATATTTAAAATGATTTCAGCTGAGAAGTAGTAGTACTTGAAAGATATCTACCATTTTCATAAGACCACAAAGAATAGTGTTTGATTAATCAAAAGCAAGATAAAATAATGAACCCTCTATATTTCAAAATAGATTAAGTATCTAGCAGTTTTAATGAAACACTATTGAGTATTACCACCAAAGTTAGCATCAGAAGCTTCGTTAGCTTAATTTCCTCACAGTGGAACCAACTTCTCGGTCAGACAATGTAAACGAGTTCTTGTAGAGTAGAAAATGCAAGAAATCATCCTGAAGGGACTAGTCAAAGTTGAGGTTCCTAATGCAAGGTTCTTAGCAGAAAAAAGTAATAGTGTCAAGATTATAAACTTTAAAAAGAAAGTTGGAGCAAAAAGAAGAGTTGCAGAATCAATATCTAGGCATTATAAATAACGGTAGGTTGCCGTTTATTTTTTCTTCCACGAACAGAACATGGGAACTGATAGAAAACAGGCAACACAAAGAGGCACACATTTGTTGAATATTAATAACAATCGACATATAAAAAGCAATAACTAACGTAAAAAATTATATATATGATCACATAATACATACAGTAGAAGATTGTACCAAAGCCAATAAGAAAGAGCCAAACCAGCCAGTAAATTTACTTGTGGAACTTCTACCAGCAGCCAATGTGCATGCTCACAGAACAAATGGCTAGCAATTTACTACACTTTGCAACCTTCTGCAAAAGAGAACTTACACAGTTAAAAGAGATGTCTATTACTTCTAATAAAGACAGGGACGACTATCAAGAAAAGCCAAGAAACTCAATAAAAGCAAGCAAAGAAATAGAGATAAATGCATCTACATTTCTATCTTATGTGGACCAAAAGTTTACCATTGCACATTCAAATACATGATAGTTTTTCCAGGAGCACAATAGATGACACGTCATATATTTTGATCTAATTAGAAATTATTGCAGATAACCGATCCTCCTCTAGTGAATATGACATCATATATTTGTAGATGACACGTCATACCATCAATAATTTCTAGTGAATATCATTGCACATTCAAATACATGATAGTTTTTCCAGGAGCACAATAGATGACACGTCATACATTCAATAATTTCTAGTGAATATGACGTCATATATTTTTAGATAGCATTTGTGCTTTATGAGGATAAGCGAAAGCATAACCAAAAGACAAAAAATGAAAAGAACAGAAACAGTGGTTTCTTAAAGCAATTCACTAGAAACAACACAAATGCTACACATCAACCGTGACGATCCCCCGGTCAAATGCATTACTTTTTCCTCAAACACAATATATTGCCAACTCATACTACTAAATTCATGACCATATAGGAGAGTAGTATGCAATTCATACACAGATTTAGCAAAATGTATACACCAAATTAATGCAACCAAACAAAGCTTTCACGTTATATAGAAAAATATAGAAAGAGAGAGAGCTAGCAAAGTACTGGTGATTGAAATATTGGAAATATAGAAATAAAATTCAGTATTTCTCTGACTTATTAGTATCAGTATATGAACAATGGATTTTCTCATTGTTGTCTTTCTTCCAAATAAATCCACCTCATTGTAGGACTTCAAGGTCATTTAGTCGAAAGCCACAGAGAATGATGGGACTGGGATCAATTACCTCTATTAGCCCCAGCCGAGGCTATTCTTTTTATATGCAAAATTTAATAGATGGGATAACAAGCAAGAAAAATAATCTGTGAAAGAAAAAATATGAAATTGATTACAAAATATTCTGTACCGTTGTCGATATGATGATCACACTTGCTTTTGATTCTATTCCCACTACAAAAAAAGAAGAGTTAGGGGCAATTATTTTCGTCACTTTTAATTTAATTAGAGGCAAATAAATAGAATTATCTGCCTCTAATTACATGAGTGGCAAATCTCGCATCCGCACCTAAATGTGGTGTTGCTAATAGTTATTAGGGGCAATATTGCATAAACTTCCGCCCCAAATACTAAACGCGCCACATCAGCTCGTTTATTTGAAAAAGTATTAGAGGCAAATATAATTGCCTCTAATAACTTATTAGAGGCAAATATAATTGCCTCTAATAACTTATTAGATGCAAATATAATCACCTCTAATAACTTATTAGATGCAGATGTAACTACCCCAAATAGTTGGAATTAAAATAAAAATATTAATTAAAGGTACAAATATAATTGCCTCTAATAACTTAAATTTGATATTAATATTTTAATTTTTTAATAAATCTGGAAAAAATAATTAATTTTTATTTCATATAATTAAATTGAAAAACAAACATAAAATAATTGAAACATGAATAATTTTGATTGATAAGAAGTCAATCCAATTTGATTACATAATAATGTACCAAAATTGCTTAAAAAACATGTGACAAATAGTACTTAACAATAATTTAAATAATCAACAAAGTTGACCTTCAACATGAATGTAAAAATATCTAACTTTTATCTCTGCCATTCCTATCATTTGGTGGCATCATCTGCTGCATAAAATTCGAATCATTAAGCATTGCTGTAAACTCTCCAGGTGGGTGTGGCACTGGGTGGTACAAAGGTGGCTGGTATGGATGGGGGTAGTAGAACTGCGAAGATGATGTATACGGATACGGTGGAAGATGCTGATAGGGAGGATATGGGTACGATGTCGGAGTGTGCTGGGAAGGTGAGTGTTGTTGGGAAGGAGATCGCAGACGACGATGCTGATATGGTGGATATGGGCAAGATGTCGGAATTTGTTCGGAAGGTGACTATTGTTGGGATGGAGACCGTTGCTAGGAGTTAGACTGTTGTTGGGAGGAAGATTGTTGATGCGGATGTGCGTTCCCTGAAGTGATCATCTGTTTCAACTCATCCAACTCCTTTTGCTGTCGCTCATACTTTTCCTCAAGTTCTGAATATTGAGATTGCAAATTAGCATATGCTCGCCCAGTACGTGATCGAAGTGATGAAGATGTTGGCTGAGTTTGTGCCACCCAAGGAATCATTTCTGGCGTCACCCCTCTTCCATAACCACGAACTCTACCATGAGTCTCTAAACCCCTTGTTGCTACATAAGCTTGTTGCCTTAGTTCTGATGTTTCCTCGCCATGGGTTTCAACCAAACTCGTCAACTCCCGTGAGATCTTAACCTGAAAAAAGAATTCGCTTCAATAGTCAAAATGGACACAATATGAAGTAAAGGTGAGATCTTAACCTGAAAAAAGAATTCGCTTCAATAGTCAAAATGGACACAATATGAAGTAAAGCAATTTTTTTACATGTATTACTTGTCTTAATACAAATAATTAAATTTCAAACTCACCGCCAATTCCTCTGATGCATCATCTATCCAACTTTTGTTTTCATCTCGCTGCTTGTGCACTATATAAAACATCTCAATAGGATCGGGTTTGCGACCATGTTTTTTCTCCTATTTGTAAAACACAGAAAAAAAATCATAAATTTTATTTAATTAAAGAAGCAACATCTCAAAGAAGCAAACTTCAACAGTAAATGTAGACATCAAATGTGGTCTACATAAAATAAAGGTCAATTCAAACAAATACAGGACAACTATTTTCGGCATTAAATAGAAGGAACCAAACAGAATGTAGATGAAGTTGAAGGAAGTTAAGCCTCGTATACTTTTCACATGGATTGATTATAATGTAATGGGGCTTTTTAACAGTGGTGATATTTGGCAAACTTCTAATTGGAACAAGAACAAATAACACTTTCAGGTTTCAACTACTACGAGGTTTCATCATATGTATGATTAGAATAGCAAGATACAAATTACTTTGACCCAGAAACAACTAGATGAAACTAGAACAACCTGTTTTGAATATTGGATACAGATTTAACCGTCACATATATAGGAGCAACTATCATCTTAAGACCCACATATATTGAAACTAAATATTCTCTGACTTCCTCGTGGACCTCATGATTCATATATTTCTCTCTATTCTCACTCGATAAGAGAATCTGAGAGCAGAAATTCCGAATTCGTTACAGTTAGGATCATAAAAAATCCAAAAATCTGCAGGCAACTACACATATTAAGATTAGTGGATCACATAGTCTGGAAATCCTTACGGTAAGTAACAGTAACTAAAAGTAAATAGTCAAGCTTACACAATCACAGAATAAAGATGATGGAAGGAAAAAAAAACTAGAAAAGTGGGGGAAAAATTGTTGGCACTGCTTACCATTTACTTCTGTCTGATCAAAGAGAACTATTTAGAACATTTTGCTACTTTATATAGGATAAGCTGCATAATACAGATAATGATTGATTGAATTAAAGGGAGAAAGTAAAACATAGTACTTACTGGAGAGCATTATTCATAAGCTGGACGCCTTACATGTTTCCTTAATCTGTAATATAACATTCAGTAGAAAACTGACACATATATATTGTTTTAGTTAGGTAATTGTGACCTTCCTGTAAGTTACTTCCATCTATTACCTACAAATAATTAAATGAGTCCCAAGATATTAGCTCGTCATAACTTCCAAACGAAACAAGAGTTCTCAAGATATTAGCAATCAGATTCAATGAAAAGCTCTAAAGCATCAATAATAAACTGCAAATATATTTTTTGACATAATAAACTGCCAACATATTTTTTGACACTTTGTTCCCATTGCCATAAAAAATACACATGTAACTAAATGGCAATGATCCAAGATGCATCTTACAGGGGAGAACAAAAGGTAGTAGTTAAAAAGCCAATAACAGATTTTGGTGGATACTTTAGTGTACATATTAGAATCAATCAATGCAGTTTTTTTATATATAGATGTTAAATGATCAAAGTATGTGTCCATCTTTATCCTTTTCTGGTAAAAAACATATTTTCCTCTGTTTTTACATATTCCTGCTAGTTGGGAATAAAGGCCTAATTGTTGTTGTAAGTTATCAGCTCTTATTTCATATTGAAACATGCATGGAGAAACGTCAAATAACAACATCACAGTCAAAATGTGTATATTGAGTACCTGATGTCAATGCTCCCCAACCACAAAATAAAACATGATAAATTATATGAAACGACATCACAGTCTAAAGAAAAAAAGGAGGTCTCGTGTTAACTTACATAATCAGCCATGTGTCGTGCGAAGCTCTTTGTGCCACCAGTGTGATTCATTTTTTGCCTCTTGCGGCTTTCAATATTCTTCTCACATCTAACCTGAGGCGCACAACATAATAAGAAATCTAGCCTAATTTGAAATCATAAGTTTATATTATGGATGTAGTACTTACTTTATTTTTTGGATCAGTGTCCCAATAGTTAACCATTGCCCGCCATTGATCGCGCGATCTACACGATCATCTGCCACACAAGATCGTCTGGCATAAAGAAAAAACCAATAAATAAAAAAGAACACCAACAATAGGGAGTGTAATACTTAGCTTTAAACTTGCCTTTATAGTTTCTGGGCACCTATTCAGACAATCTTTGGCAACATGTACAAGTCGTATTTTTAGGATATTTGGGAACATCTTTGCAGCCCGCCAATCTATGGTTATCCTGCACTCATACATAGTTATACCATTAACAAGAGTTATGATATATGTTTCATACATATTAAAGTTGCAAAGTGTTCAAAGAACATCATTACAAATATTGTTTTCCACAGCATGATCATGGTAAGTATCATCATGCAACGCGCCAATCTAGTAGGACTTGAGGAAGAAACTGCTGAATTTTTTGCTAGCGCTTACCTAAGTACCTAGACAGCTGGGATCTTAGGGTCAACGCACAATCCATCCTCTGTGAATTCAATAGACTCGCTTGCCCAGATTTTCCCACTTTTGGCTTGTCATAACCACACCCTCTTTTCTTTGTTGGAACTGCATACACTAAAGGTTCAATAACGCATATAAATAGATAAATGAATCATTAAAACCGAGTTTGGTCGCATATGTTCGACAATTTAGCCAAATTTATCGTTCGAGGCCTATTCGAAACCAGAAATGGGGTATGAGATGCTATTAATAATTGGACTTGAATTCGTAGTGTACGTTCATGTGCACAAACATAAAATAGGGGGGGTTTTACCCTTTTCATATTACTGGCACAGCAGCAGCAGCCCAAAGAGCTTGTCTGCAACAGCAGCAGCAACAGTTCTTTGAGTGCTGACTGCAGGCAGCAGCTCAAAAGAGCTGCTGCTGTGCAGAGCAGCTCTCTGAGCTGCTGTCTGGCAGCAGTAGCAGTAGCTCAGGGAGCTGTTTTGTTGGTCAAGGATATCGTGTCGTCGACTTTTTATTTGGCGTAATATCACATATTGTCTTCATATGGTGATTTCATAGGAAACATAATTACGCATCAAAGAGATTAGTGCACACAATAATAAAAAGGGAGTGTTTGTTAGTATTAAATCATGTTGGAAAATTGACATTACCATATATGAACACACTATATCCTCGTCTAGTAATCAGAAATCAATATTTACTAATTCTCATAACGCAACGCCCTCTTTTCTTTTGCGTTTGACCTGCATACACTAAAGTTAATAAGCCATATAAAATAGATAAAATGAATATTAAAACCCCGAGTTTTGGTCGATATGTCGACAATTTACAAATTTCTCGTTCGAGCATTCGAAACGAGAAATGGGTATGAGTGTATATAATTGGACTTTGAATTCGTAGTGTACGTTCATGTCAACAAACTATAAATAGGGGGGTTTTACCCTTTTTCTAATTTACTGCACAGAGCAGCAGCCCAAAGAGCTGTCTGCAACAGCAGCAGCAGCAGTTCTTTGAGCTGCTGACTGCAGCAGCAGCTCAAAAGAGCTGTGCTGTTGCAGACAGCTCTCTGAGCTGCTGTCTGTAGCAGTAGCAGTAGCTCAGGGAGCTGCTGTTTGGGTCATTTTTATCGTGTCGCCCCAGCCAAAGATTTTACGCGTGAATGTTGGCACGAGAATCCGCAGTTACGCCCACAGCTTTGCAAACATCATTAATCAAACTCAGAGGCTATCATGGAATTTATCTCATAACCGCTGCTCCATCATATAATAATGAGCCATGTAGTAGAGATTGTTGCAAAATTTCCATATACTTGTTTCATTATGAAACATTGTTGTCATTCCACTTGGTTTGATCAGAATTCATGAAATTTTCATGTTCTTCAGAAGCCAATATGTGCAATGATTAGTTTATCTTGTGTAGAACTGTACTTGTTTGTTTATATAATAATGGGTTGAATATCACATTATTATTTTAAATCAGTTACGTACATGTTGATGTTTTACTTTTGCTGGAGAGCATCTTGAGCTAACAAGAGAATCGCCTTGTTTTCTTACGTATAGTATTTCTCAATTGTGTAGTGACTGAATAGTAACTTTTTGTCCTGGAGACAACAAAATATATAAATAAATAAATAAATAAAATAAAAATAAAAGGAATGGAAAATTGTAGTAAAATTAACCATTGACATAAACCTACTGAGAGATACTCAGGGGTCTATAGTGAAATTACCATGACATAAAACTACTGAGAGAGTGCAGTTGTAGAACAAACGATTCAAGTTTTCACCTATGAAGACGAAGCATTAGTTGGAGATGTCATAGCAGTTTGAGTCTAATAATTCCATAATGACAATTTGATCTTTTACTACTGGTAGATAAAATCTGAAAGGATTTTAGCTTATATACAATTTAGAGGTCTAGACAGAGAACACAAAATTATCAGATACCCAAGTCGCAACACTTGGGATTTCTTCTAGAAACGCTTTTCATACCCAGCAAATTCTTGCTTAAATATATAATAATAGAATATCCATTCAGGCAACACAACTTACCTTTTTTTGGGAAATAGGGTGTAAAATATTAATACGAAGCATTTCATAGATAACAATTTGATGAAACATTCTCCACAGAACAGATCAGAATTCAAGCACGAGATATCCAAGGCATAGTGAACGACAATATGTAAGATATTTGCTATAGAATCATTATAAGTGGACAAACAGGTTCTGAAAAGAGCAAG